ACACCCGTGGCCTGCTGGAGGTAATTTTGCAGAACTCTGGTAGTGCTCATCCTCCTTGAACAAAGGAGCAGATACCGGTCCTGCTGATGGGAGCTTGTAAGCTCCAGTTCCAAGTAATCTCTAGAGGTCCTTGTTTCAGAAGTGGAGGAGCACACATGGTATATTAGAGCAGTTTGTGAAACTGGAAATTCCTGTCTCTGAAGACGCCCAGTGGGAGGGCAGAATGCATGTTAGACGGAGCTTATGCCAGCAGCGGCGCTCCGAGGTTGTCCTTATTGCCCTGCAAGTTGAAGCTCATTATTTATGATATATTACAGTAGGATATGTTGAGTGCTTGACCTGAAGTAAAGGAAAGAAGGGATATACAATTATCTACCACTGGGGCACTTTAAGAAGACGTGTGCATATATATACAGTTGTGTTCAAAATAATAGCAGTCAGACATCACTAACCTGATCAATCACTATTTTTGGTAGAAATGATATTTCTACATGGCAAATAATTTACTAGCAGGTGTAGTAGAGTAATAGAAATCCAACAGACCCACACTCATGACATGCATGCTGCTGACTCTGTGTAATTGAATATGATTCAAAATGATAGGCTGCTCAGCTAAAATGATAGCAAATGCTTTAAAATGGAACCAAAACCTGAAAGACGTAGAAGAAAGCGAAAAACTACCATTCGAGTGGATAGAAGAATAGCCAAAATGGCAAGGACTCAGCCAACAATCAGCTCCAGGAAGATCAAAGAAGGTCTAAAGTTACCTGTGAGTACTGTTACAATTAGAAGACGCCTATGTGAAGCCAAGCTATCTGCAAGAAGCCCCCACAAAGTCCCATTGTTGAAAAAAAGACGTGCTGAAGAGGTTACAATTTGCCAAAGAGCACATTGACTGGCCTAAAGAGAAATGGCGCAACATTTTGTGGACTGATGAAATTAAGATTGTTCTTTTTGGGTCTAGTGGCCGGAGACAGTTTGTCAGACGACCCCCAAACACTGAATTCAAGTCACAGTACACTGTGAAGACAGTGAAGCATGGTTGCGCAAGCATCATGATATGGAGATGTTTTTCATACTACGGTGTTGGACCTATTTATTGCATACCAGGGATCATGGATCAGTTTGAATACATCAGAATACTTGAAGAGGTCATGCTGCCTTATGCTGAAGAGGAAACGCCCTTGAAATGGGTGTTCCAACAAGACAACGACCCCAAACACACCAGTAACCGTGCAACATCTTGGTTCCAGACCAACAAGATCGACGTTATGGAGTGGCCAGCCCAATCCCCGGATCTTGATCTAATAGAAAACTTGTGGGGTGACATCAAAGATGCAGTTTCTGAGGCAAAACCAAGAAATAGAGAAGAACTGTGGAATGTAGTCCAATCATCCTGGGCTGGAATACCCGTTCACAGGTGCCAGAAGTTGGTTGACTCCATGCAACCCAGATGTACAGCAGTTCTCAGAAACAGTGGTTATACAACTAAATATTAATTAAGTGATTCAAAGGAAAGCAAAATCTTCAAACATTTTTCAGTTTATATAGTGAATGTTTGAGTTTGTAAAGAAGAGTACAAACTGCTATTTTTTGAACAGTCTAGTATTCACTTTTCTTCAATTTTTTTAGAGGAACAACACAAATTTGATATATTTTCTTCATGTTTTGATTTGGAATAGAATGTGTAGTGTTCCCAATGCATTTGTGTGTATGGAAATGAAAGCTATTAGAAGGAATTTGAGCTTTATTCACTTTTTTCAACACACTGCTATTATTTTGAACACAATTGTGTGTGTGTGTATATATATATATATATATATATATATATATACTTTTTTTTCCACAGGAGACTGTGCATGTATGTTATTTGAGCACAGAGCACTTTCAACTAATCACATTTACATCACCATGGGTTGAAAGTTTATTTGGACTCTGGATATTGTTTATATTTTTTTTTGGATACTTTGGATAATTTTTGTACACTGTTGAGCGCTGTTTAAAATTTTTTTTCTAAATTTTCCTAATGGTACACAGATAGTAAAATATTAGCTGGCAGGGGTTCAACTCCTCCCTGCTCTATTCAAAATTGAAAAATAAGATTTTGGTTCTACAGTGCCTTTGAAAAAGTATTCATACCCCTTCACATTTTCCACATTTTGTCATGTTACAACCAAAAACGTAAATGTATTGTATTGGGATTTTATATGATAGAACAGCACAAAGGGGCACATAATTTGTGAAGTGTAAAGAAAACAATAAATAAGGTTTTCAAATTTTTTTTTTACAAATAAATATCTGAAAAGTGTGGTGTGCATTTGTATTCAGCCTCTCTGAGTCAATACTTTGTAGAACCACCTTACACTGCAATTACAGCTACAAGTCTTTTTTGGGGATATCTCTACCAGCTTTGTACATCTAGAGATTCTTCTTTGCAAAATAGCTCACGTTATGTCAGATTAGATGAAGAGCGTCTGTGAATAGCAATTTTCAAGTCTTGCCACTGATTCTCAATTGGATTTAGGTCTGGACATTGACTGGGCCATTCTAACACATGAATATGCTTGGATCTAAACCATTCCATTGTAGCTCTGGCTGTATGTTTAGGGTTGTTGTCCTTCTGGAAGGTGAACCTCTGCCCCAGTCTCAAGTCGTTTACAGACTCTAACAGGTTTTCTTCTAAGATTGCCCTGTATTTGGCTCCATCCATCTTCCCATCAACTCTGACCAGCTTCCCTGTCCCTGCTGAAGAAAAGCATCCCCACAACATGATGCTGCCACCACCATGTTTCACGGTGGACATGTTGTGTTCAGGGTGATTTGCAGTGTTAGTTTTCCACCACACATAGCATTTTGCTTTTAGGCCAAAAAGTTCAATTTTGGTCTCATCTGACCAGAGCATCGTCTTCCACATGTTTGCTGTGTCCCCAACATGGCTTCTCACAAATAAGACTTCTTATAGCTTTCTTTCAACAATGGCTTTCTTCTTGCCATAAAGACCAGATTTGTGGAGTGTACGACTAATAGTTGTCCTGTGGTCAGATTCTCTCACCTTAGCTGTGGGTCTGTGCAGCTCCTCCATAGTTACCATGGGCCTCTTGGCTGCTTCTCTGATTAATGCTCTCCTTGCCTGGCCTATCAGTTTAGGTGGACGGTCATGTCTTGGTAGGTTTGCGTTTGTGCCATACTCTTTCCATGTCCGGATGATGGCTTGAGTAGTGCTCCGTGAGATGTTCAAAGCTTGGGATATTTTTTATAACCTAACCCTGCTTTAAACTTCTCCACAACTTTATCCCTGACCTGTCTAGTATGTTCCTTGGCCTTCATGGTGCTGTTAACAAAACAGCTGTATTTATACTGAGATTAAATTACACACAGGTGGACTCTATTTACTAATTAAGTGACCTCTGATGGCAATTGGTTCCACTAGATTTTAGTTAGGGGTATCAGAGTAAAGAGGGCTGAATACAAATGTACGCCACGCTTTTCAGAAATTTATTTGTAGAAAAAAATTGAAAACCATTTATCATTTTCCTTACACTTCACAACTATGTGCCACTTTGTGTTGATCTATCACATAAAATCCCAATAAAATACATTTAGGTTTTTGGTTGTAACATGACAAAATGTAGAAAATGTCAAGGGGTATGAATGCTTTTTCAAGGCACTGTACATACACTATAACATTAAAGAGAGCAATTTTGTTTTCTATAAACACATGACGAATTATTCACTAAACTAATTAGACTACACAGTCTCTCACCTGCCTAGAATAATTAACATAAAATTGGCTGAAGGTGGCTATGATAATAACATTTTATTTGCACCTAATATGGCAATTTGATTTCATGGTTTTGCAGAGGTGTATTAAGACAGTCATAATAATTACATATGGAATGCCTGCTTGATGTTCAGCTCCCTAAATATGTTACATTAAGGGTAAAATGTAACAACAATCTGTGCAGTGATTACACTATGTGACACTTCTTTTTATAATATCTATAGTGAAATTCCATTCTATTGTACCATTCCAAAGACTGAAAAGTGCCTGACATTAATTGATATTGTTTGGGAGACAGTCTCATTATTCTTTCAAGCATTAGATGCCTTAGGCTTGAATCTTCTTGAAAGCTGGCATCTTGGTATAATGTATTTGGCCTAGTGCTAATAGCATTTTTGCTTTTTTCAGTAATATAATTGACATAAACATACTGCAGTGAGATAGAGCATGTGATAACCCAAGTACATTATTTAAAAAAACACCTATCTGTAATGAATTCATGAATATTAAGTGAAGAAATGATAAAATACTGTGATCTTGTAAGGGAAAGGAGAAAAGTTGCATGTCATACTCCAGAAAAAAAGTATAGTTAAATTGTTTTAAGGTAACTCAACTATTGTTCCCAAACAAAAAAGCAAATACATGCCTCTCTTATTAATATCAATTGTCAAGATAAATGAACGCATCACAATGATGAACGTTGCTTTCTGAAGTAAGAAGCAGAAATATTCAAGAATATACTTTATAGAACAGAAAAAAAATAAAATAAAATTGCAACATTGCCACTTTCTTAACCACTTGCCCTCCAGAGGATTTACCCCCCCTTACTGACCAGGCCAACCAAATGAAGTTTATGTCCCTCTTTTCCCACAAATAGAACTTTCTTTCGGTGGTATTTAATCACCTGCAAATTTTTTTTTTTTTTTTTTTTTTTGGGGGGGGGGGGGGGGGGGGGGGGGTTGTGCTTTAAACAAATAAAAGCAGACAATTTTGAAAAAAAAAAAAACAATAGTTTTGACTTTTTGCTAAAAAACATACCCAGTAAAAACAATTTAAAAATCAAATGTTGTCATAAATTTAGGCCAAATTGTATCCTGCTAAATCCAAATACATGAAAATGTATTGGTTTACATGAAAGTTATAGCATCTAAAAATGGTGTTATATATATTGGAATTTATTATTTTTTTTTATACTAGTAATGGCGGCGATCAGCGGCTTATAGCGGGACTGCGGTGGGCATTCTGACACTGGAGGGGAACTGATTAACTGCCACTGACATTCCAATGACACTAATACAGTGGTCTGTGCTAATAAAAAGCGCTGACACTGTACTAATGATACTGGGCAGGAAGGGGTTAACATCCAGGGCGATCAAAGGGTTAACCGTGTGCTCTGTGCTGTTGTACTGTGTGTTTGTGTGCTGTGTGTGTTTTACTAGGGAAACATGCTTCTGTATATTTTTGTGCTGTGCAGAGAAGTACACAGCAGCATGTTACTGCTGGCAGGAGAGAGACCTGTGTTTACACACAGGTCTCTCCCCTGTCAGAGATTTCCGGGTGACGGCAGGGAATCTCCTGCTGGGACCCGGTGATCGACATCTGTAGTTGCCAATGGCGGCGCAGGTGGGACGTATATGTGTATATCATATATGTGATTTCGCATTTCCGGATAGGGGGTGCGTGCAGGTATAACCATGTGAGTGAGGCCCTAATTGATTTACTTTAACTTTAAAATCAAATGTTACCCTTGCAGTGGGACTCCCCATGCACTTTAAGCATTAAATGCTTGTTTTGGTTTATAAAAAACAGCCAGCAGCAGGTGCTTCCTTCTTTTCCCTGACAGTCTTGGATGTGGGCAGGCCCTTGGTGTCCTCACACACAATGCAGGACTTCAGAGTTCCTGCAACTGTGTGAGTGATGCAGAGAAGAGGTTTCATGGGACCTGTTGAGCAGTTTGGAGGGATTGGTTAAACTGCTTGTTATGTTTACCCCTAGAAAAAAAAAACAAGCATTTAACCCTCATAGTGCAGAGGGAGCCCTACTACAAGGGTACCATTCATCCAGAATTCAGCTTTAACCACATCAATACTTTCTCCCCCTTCCTGCCAAGATCAATTTTCAGCTCTTAGGGCTATTGCACTTTGAGTGTCCATGCAATCCCACCCTACCCATATTTTTTTTTTTCTCACAAATAGAGCTTTTTTGATGGTATTTAATTACCACTTTCTTCTTGGTTAATGAACAAAGACAGAACATTTTGCGAAATAAAAACATGTTTTTATTCATTTCTGTTATAAGATTTTGCAAATAAATAATCTTTCTTCATAAATTTAGGCCAAAATGTATTCTGCTACATTTCTTTGGAGAAAATAACCCAAACCAGTGTATATTATGTAGTCTGTAGGAAAGTTAGAGTCCACAAGCAATGGGTTATCAGTGTTTCCCAACGTTTTTTTTCAGTCAAGGCACCCTTTAAAAATTAGACACAATCCAAAGGCACCCAATTCTAAAATGTAAAAACTAAACTAATAGTTTTACATAATGCAGCAACATTCACACATGTAGGACATCCAACTTTAGAAGTTGCGAAGCAAACATGCCTTTGCACACTGGTACTGACTATTCCAATGTTTCTCTTCTCCCTCAGTTTCTCTCCCTCACTCAGCTAACCCCAGTGCTGATGGAGAGGGGCAGGGCATTGGCAAACAAGGATGCTGTGCCCGATGTCCTCCGTATCAACAGATAATGTCATTGGTTGTTAGGACACCGGCAGCTGGAAGGTTGTAATGGTGCACAATGAAAAGCCATGGCTTTGTGTAACTGAAAGGCAGGCTGGATCCACCTGCTGGCTAATATACAATCGTTGGGCAATTTTTAGGGATTTTGCCAAGATACCCCTGGTGAAACCTAAATGCACCCCAGGGTGCTTGGCCACCCTTGTTGAAAAAGGCTGGCATATACAGTGCTCAGCATAAATGCGTATACCCCCACAGATTTGTTGAAAACCTTTACTTTCCTTTCAGAATCAACATTTGTTTATGGGACACTATACTACAAAATACTCCCACAAATTCAGGCCATTGATTGCAAACAAGATTTGTTAATTTGCACACACAAAAAAGTGTTTTTCCTAACAAATTCATTCAAGAACATGTTGCAAAAATGAATACACCTCATTAAAAGTCTAATGCAGGCTATAGACGGGTCGAAAATCGGCCAATTTTTGCACCGTTAGTGGGTTAATTGGTCGGACGTTTTTCAGGGTTTTGGCACATTTTGTTTAAAGTTGGAAAATTTTGACGATCGGCCGATTTTCCCGGCAATGATGGGCAAATCGGCCGGTCATTTTACCGATAAAAAATCTGCGCATGAGCCGTGACCTGCAAGAAGAAGAAAAAAAAGAAGAAAAAAAAGCAGAAGAAAAGAAGTAGAAAAAGAAATAGAAGAAGAAAAAGAGGAATAAGAATTCAAGTCCACTATTATATTTTATATGAAAAGTCTTGCGGTTGCAACAATGTATCTATTTGTATCCAAATAAAACCATCTGTATCTGAAATGGATACAAATGGATACATTGTTGCAACCGCAAGACTTTTTCATTTAAAATATAATAGTCGAGCTCTCTGCAAGGAACAGAAGTAAAAATGCCGGCTGTAGACGGGACGAAAATCGGCAGATTTTTTTACTGTTGGTGGTAACGTTGGCCAATTGAACGACCGTTTTTTTTTTTTTTTTTTTTTAAACGGCCGATTTTCGACCCGTCTATGGCCTGCATTAGGAGCAAATTTTAGACAACAAAATCCTAATTACCAAGAATTCAACTACAGGTGAGTCTAATTATTCATTAAACTGGTGTCCAGCAGACAGTTGATTATAAAAGGGTGTTACTTAACCATTTGCCTACCGGGCACTTATACCCCCTTCTTTACCAGGCCAATTTTCAGCTTTCAGCGCTGTCTCAAGTTTGATTGACAATTGCGCGGTTATGCAAGATTGTACCCATATGAAATTTTTATAATTTTTTTCTCATAAATAGAGCTTTCTTTTGGTGGTATTTACTCGCCACTGGGTGTTTTATTTTTTGTGCTATAAACAAAAAACTGCAAAAAATTTGAAAAAAAAAAAGTTTCTTTGTTTCTATTATAACATTTTGCAAACAGGTAATTTTTCTCCTTCAATGATGTGTGTTGATGAGGCAGCACTGATGGGCACTGTTAGGCAGCACGGATGGGCACTGATAGGCAGCACTGAATGGCATTGATAGGTGGCACTGATAGGCAGCACTAATGAGGTGGTACGGATAGGCGGCACTGATAGGTGGCACTGATAGGCGGCACTGATGATGGGTACTGTTAGACAGCACTGATAGGTGGCACTGACTGGCATCACTGCTGGTCACTGACTGGCGGCATTGCTAGGTATTGACTGGCGGCACTGTTAGGCATTGACTGGCACAACCACTGGGCACTGACTGGTGGCACTGACTGGCAGCACTGCTGGGCTGCACTGGTTGGTGACACTGGTGGGCACAGGTGGGTGGCACTGGTGGGCACAGGTGGGTGGGCAGAGGTTGGTGGCACTGCTGGGTGGCACTGGTGGGCACTGCTGGGCACAGGTGTGTGGCACTGCTGGGTGGCACTGGTGGTTGCACTGCTGGGCACAGGTGGGTGCACTGCTGGGCACAAGTGGGTGGAACTGGTGGGTGGCAATGCTGGGCACAGATCATCAGGGCATGGATCATCAGTGCCCTGATGATCGGTGCCGATCCCTGCTCTAACAACTGCTGGTTCTCGGCAGTACTTTCCTCACGATCTGACAGCGTGAGGAAAGTGCAGCCAAGAAATTGCATTTCTCTGTGATCAGCGTGTCATTGGACACGACTGATCACGTGGTAAAAGGCCGCTGTGATTGGCCTTTTACCACATCACGTGATCAGCTGTGTCCGTAGGACACAGTGATCACGGAGATCGCCGGATGCACGCCCCCGGAAAGCGCGTTCTGGGAGAACGTCATATGACGCCCTCCAGAACTGGCTGGCCGCAGTGTAGCCGTCATTCGGCTATCTGCGGTCGGCAAGTAGTTAACAAGGAAAACCCCTTTCCATTTCATGCTGTCAGCAATAGTACCACATGGAAGAGAATGGTCACAAGGGCTGAAAAAGAAAATAATTTCTTTACACAAGAAAGGTGAAGGCTACAAGAAGATCAGCAAAGGTTTACTTATCAGTCAGTCAATACTGCAGTAAACATGATACAGCAATTTAACAAAGATGGAACTGCAACCATCTCTCAGAGATGTCCAGGTCATCCAAGGAAGTCAACACTTCAACAGGAGCGTCCTCTGATGAAAAGGGTTGAAGAAAATTGCCATGCAAGTTCAATGCAGTTAGCTAAATAAGTAGAGAGCCAAACTGAGGTGATTGTTTCCCATGACACAATATGGTGTACACTGCAAAGGAATGGCATGCATTTGTGTCGTCCATGAAGAAAGCTTCTCCTAAAGCCCATGCACATAAAGCATGCCTAGAATTTGCCAGGGCCCATGCTGAAAAAAAGACTACTGGGACTCTGTACTCTGGAGTGATGAAACCAAGATACATGCTTTTGGAACTGATGGCTTCAAAACTGTATGGTGTTGCAAAAGTGAGGTAATAGGTTTGCTTATATTTAGCTGGGAACCCTGCTGGGAACACTCATCTGTTGTTAAGGATGCGACGGCCGCCCGCTGCTTAACAAGCATGTTGTTTACTGGTTGTTAAGGATGCCGGCGGCCGCCCACTGTTTAACAACCAGTTTAATATCACACAGAACACAAAAAAGCATCAAAAACACAATACTTGCGGTTTTGATGTAGTTCCATTGAAGTGGGAAAAAAAAGTCCCTGACCCTTTCAAAAAACTGCACTGGCTCAAAACGATCAGATATGAACTAGATCCCTATGAAATCATGTTAAATAAACTGTAGTGTGTTTCTACAAACTGGAAAATGTACTAAAATCCAAGGTGTCTACGTTGTGAGAAATTTGTACATACAAGAGTCATGCATATCATTAATGTGAAAACAAAAACCAATAATGTTAAATCTGAAAAGCAATTTAAAAAGTGATATTTGTGGAACCCAGACTGGTCATTTTTATTCTGTTATTACAGAGGTTGAACAGAGGTACAGTATAGGCTTATAAAGAAAGTATATTATATATATACTTGGCTGTCTCAGATAAAGACCTCATTGATTCTACAGAGACTCTGTGAGAGAAAAGGCATTTAAGAAAACTACTGCCTAGTATTTAAACTAGCACTTTGTCGCTCAGATTGAGAAAGACTTCATTGAGACTGCTTTCCAGCTATATTTGTCTGTGGTCCCTGATTAATTTTTCAGCTGTACTGTCGTAATTTAGACACACAAAGTAAAGAAAAGCTGCCTCTAGACTTTTGGTTCAGCACTGAAATTATTTTATTTGGTCAGTTAAGGCACAAGTAGCGATTAGGGAAATTTGTATTTAACTTTCCTACATTTCAGTGTATGTTTGGTAGTTTCTGTCATTTTAAACTGTACATATGGGTATGGCAAGTTATGGGTTTTTGGTTTTTGTA